GCTGAAGTCTCTGCTTCAGTATTTCCTTATCCAAAGACCAACTCAAATAGGGAATATTTTTACAGTAATCCACTGTAAGGAATCAGAAGTACCTCTAAGCAGCAGCTAGCTAACTTCAGACAACTGCCAGGAAGTCAGTATTAACTCACACAACTGGAAGCACAGTTTTATTAATACAGTATTTGCAAATGTAATTGGCAATAAACATGATGGTGTAAAACACGTGGCTTAAAAAAACACTAATGATGTCTATTTCAAAAAAATAATTATTATTTTTAATGTCAAAAATTAGGTAATTTTCTCCAGAGTTTCATGTTCTCTGGTTCTTAATTTTTGTGAAAGGGACAGACTCAATCATGAAATTATGTTTGGCAGTATACCGCTCACCTTTGGGGCATAGGCAGTGGTTTTAATCTTCCTTGCAAAGGTTGCTTGTATTCAACTTCATAGTTTGATTTAAAAAAAAAAAAAGATAAAAATTGGAATCCATTGCAAAGAACAAACAGCAATAATTGCAACAGAAGCAAGATCAGGGAATTTTCCTTTTGAAGGACCAGCAGCCTTCGGGAGGTCTGCAGAGCAGTTTCTCTTCCAGTATATTAACATCACTTACATTTTTGGAGGAGCTGTTTGGGCAAAATAAAAAAAAAAAAAAAATAGGCCTTAGGTTTCCATTTGTGGGCTGAATTACTTGTATATACATTTTTTTTTAAGTCCGAATTCTATAAATTGCTGCTTATCTTTTTTATTTTAAAATCAAGTACATAGTTCAGATAAAACACTTGGTCTGCATTACAAAACTTTTGAGAAATCATACCAGGAACTGCACTAGGTACCTTGTTGCAATCACTGTCTATAAAGATATGGTGAGTTCAGCTCCTACCACAGTTTGGTATGGTCAGAAATACCGGGTAGAATGGAGTCTCTCAGCATTTTTATTTATTTATTTATTTATTCAGTATGGGAACAGGGATGCGTGAATGGAAAATTTTCTCTTTGAGAAAAAAAAAAATCTCATTTACCTTGGTCGTTTTTGCATTTTTAGATTTTCTTGAAGAACATTTTAAAATAGCCATGTTGAGTTAAGAAAATGTAAAAGTTATTTTTAAGAAATACAAAACTAAAAATATTTGCACATTTAAAATAGATCATTTTATTTGACTGGCTAGGTAACTTCGTAAATTTACAGACATTCACAAAGGTTTGTTTCCAGTTTCTCCCCTTGTAGCAACAGCATTTCTCTGGAAGCACTTTCCAGTTCAACCACAGTAGGCGTGGTGAGCTTCCATCCCCACAGGTGCAGCAAGAAGATCCGTATTGGCAAATTCCCCATGCAGCACCTTAAAAATACACTCTAAATCTTATTGTCATTATCCTTAATATCTTCTCTGCAGCACACTCACCACTTTCCTCTCAAGGACAATGGTCTGCTGAAGACAAGGCTTATCCATTACTGGGAGGGCTTCCTGACAGCCTGTGAAGGTGCACGGTGCCCTATGCATTATTCAATGTATATGTAAGATCCTGGTGCCCCTTCTGTTTGTTTCTGCAATGTTTTAAGTAATCTGTGAGCATGAAGTTCAACAAGTCCAAATGCAAGGTGCTGCATGTGGTTCAGGGCAATCCCAAGCACAACTCCAGGCTGCACGAAGAATGGCTGGAGAGCAGCCCTGAGGAGAAGGACTTGGGGGTGTTGGTGGGTCAGAAGCTCAACATGAGCCGGCACCGTGCACTGGCAGCCCAGAAGGCCCCCCGCCCCCCGGGCTGCATCCCCAGCAGCGTGGCCAGCAGGGCGAGGGGGGATTGTGCCCCTCTGCTGCGCTCTGCTCTGGGGAGACCCCCCTGCAGTGCTGCCTCCAGCTCGGGGGGTCCCACCAGCAGAAGGACACGGAGCTGTTGGAGCGGGGCCAGAGGAGGCCCCGGAGATGCTGGGAGGGCTGGAGCCCCTCTGCTGGGAGGACAGGCTGGGAGAGTTGGGGGGTTCAGCCTGGA